TCAGTTTAGCTGTGAGGATGCTGTGGGAAAATTAATTTAATTCTACAGCTACATGCTTTGCTGGCTGTTTGAACGGAGAATTCCCAAGTAGTTCAATATGTCATCTGTAGAAGAATTTGCAGAGAAGAGCTGATTTAATTAACATAGAAGTTTGCAGCAAGATTATAGGGGAAGCTAAACAAGATAAGCAACTTCTTGGCAAGACTTTCATCATATTTCTGTATCTAAGGCATCAGCCAGTTTTATGAGTAACTGGCAAGCACCATTTCATTGGTCAATGCCATTGCTACTGTGAGTAGTCTATAGGAGCCAACCTCACAGCAAGCTAATTTTAATGGCTCTTAGTCCCTCTAGATGCATTCAGTGAAACCTTTCTTACCCATTAGAGTAATGAGATCTGTCATGGCCTCATGTACTGAACCACCATAAACTCCAGAGTGAAGGTCTTTGTCACTACATTCCACCTGGTTTGAAGGAAATTAAGATTCAGGTTAATTTTAGCAAGAAGATGCTGACAAATGCGCAGAACAGACTTTTACCCTAGCTTTTTGCTGCATTTTTTTGAGAACATCTGTTTTTGAAACCAGCCCAATCAGTTGTAGTACATAAAAGCAGATGGGTTTTTATTGATCTGTAGGCTACAAGCATTTAGTACCGACTGTCCCAACTGTGGAGACTTCAGTAGTGATATATCTTTCTGCACTCAAGACATCTATGCCATGAGATAATCCTCCAGTGAAGGTGCTGGCTTATCTTGCCTCATGCATTTGAAATCTATCCCTCCCAACCAAGTAGCGTATATGATAGTAAAAGGAAGATATTTTGACAGATCATAGAAACAGTTCTACTCAGTCAATTTCACCTTTTCTAATGAAAAGCTACTGGCATAAAAGTTTGAGCTACCACTCTTCTCCAGTGGAAAATTAGGCTTAATACTTGCTTTGCAGTGCATTTCAGCACTTACCTCTATGAAGTAGTAGCAGATTCCTCTCAAGCCATAGGTGATACAAGGCTTATTCTTGCCTAGCCAGTAGTTGTCAGAAATGCAAACATAATCCACATCTTTGAAGAAAGTGTCTTGCTGAGCAAAAATCAGTTCATCAAGGCCTTCAGATCCCGATTCTTCCATACCCTCCAGGCAGAACTTCACATTTACTGGAAACTCCTTTGAAAATTAAAATCAAGAACAGATTAAGTGTGAACACATTAGCCTTCAGTAATCAGTAATTTTCATCAGTCATGTACAAAGCAGAAAAATGGACATGAGCAAATTAGTTTCATGACAGTGAGATTTGTTAATTATACAGAAAGTATTACAAAGTTTGGACTGTGCTTACATTTAGGGCACTTACACCAGCCTTCATTTGATAGAATTCGAACTCTTCAAAATTTTAACTAAGCTTTACAACAACTTGTTCCCAATCCTCTTAACTGTGGGAACGCAGCAGAGACCTGTTGCCAAAGGTATGTCACAGGACTAGGAAAACTAATATTAAACCACAGAAATTGCATACCACAGTAGCAGAGTCAGAGCTACCCTGTCTATCCAGTCTACAGCACTAAACAGCACTTGAGAATTGCTAATTCTTCTCGTAAGTAACAGCAACTTGTCTTGCAATATAAAGCAGACATCCTGAGCAATTTCTGATTGTACTTTTTCTTGAACAGAAGCAGCAAAGCTGCAGTTCAGTGGTTTTAAGTTAGTCTCTTCTTAGAGCTCAGTGGCAGTGAGACATTGTACTTTGCAGAAGGCCAAGTGAATTTGACATTCTTATGTGAAAGCGATCAACATTTGATTACTCCTGCTCCAGGTGCTTGTTATACATATTTTCCTTCCTACATATTTTGTCAGAGCAAAAGTGTTTAAAGTGCAGTCTAAGCATCTCAAAGACTAACCTGTCAGCAAATCAACTCTACCCTACTGGAACATCAGGGATTTTACAGGAGTATTGCATCATTCATCTGATCAGCTGAATAAGCAGGCTTGACTCACAAGGGTTTGTGGCTTGGATAGCATTGTTATTCAGCTTTATGTAGAAGAGTAGGATACAGTTTGGGCACATACCTGGTTAGTTTGTTGATAAGCCTCCAAGGCATTCAGCCAGGCAAGCACTGGACCTTTGTCATCTGTTGATCCTCGTCCATACAGCTTTCCTGTAGAAACGAGACAAATTAACCACTGTGGAGAAAAATTAGGATGAAGCTTCAGTCATCTCTTGCCTGCAGGAGAAAACACCATTTTAGACAAGGTTTTTAGCCCTGCCTAACTCAGATTTCTGATTCTTCTGAAGTTGCTGTTTTGCATCTCATTTTATACACCCATGTAAGTGGGATAGGTGTGGGACTGCAATAGTTCTCCCACTTACAGAGCTACCCCACCTACCTCCAGCTGCTCCCTGGACAGGAGTTGAACATAAGCCTTCTCTACAAACACAGCAGTAATGGTATAGAAACAAGCTACCTCCTTTTAACAGGAACCTATCCAGTATTAGCTGCAATTCAGTAATTATTTGTCTGAATAAGACTTCAGTAGCTAGTGATCAATCACTTCTCTGGATTCTTCAGGTAAAAGAAGAATCTCAGAATCTCTCTCCTCAGAAAGAGTTTTAGTCAAAGACAAGTTTTACAGGCTACAGTGAAGTCCCAGAAAACGCAGCACATAGCATCACTGCAGAAACAGATACTGCCTCAACTCAGAGCTGTGGCTACAACTCTGAAGCACTACATGTAACTGCAATGACAGAACAGGCCAGACAGCTTCCAAGGTAAGGAGCCATTGGTAAATATGCCTCCTACACTGCCAGGCCACACACAGATAAAACACAGACTGAGGTAAGTCTAGCTCCTGCTATCAGATGAGTTAATCTAGTTTAGCAGCTTGGACTCTGCTGCCTATGACCAAGCATCCAGGTAGAAATACTAGTTATCACAGATACTTTTTCTTAGCAATGATTAACGCTTATGCAACAAGAATAGTTAGTGTCCTTCTATTCATATGACCTTTGACACACAACACTGAGCAAATGAAACAAGGAAGAAGCTGTTGGTAGCACCAGCTTTGAACAGAAAAGAAAGTTTTAGTTTCTTACTGGCTACTGGCAATGTTCCACTTCAACAGGAGTTACTGCACAATTTCTCCCTCCCCATTTATGGGAAAGGGACACTTGTATGTGCACTAGCTCTGTAAAACACAGCTTTTGCAGTACTCATTGTAGCACAGGATGCAAGCATAAGGCAACCCAGGGAGGCTTCTGTTACCACTCCTGTCTCTAGACACACAGAAGCTGTGCTAAGTGTTTGTCCCCTGTAGTGGTTCAAAATCCCTGCAGTCTGACGTGACCTTACAGGCAAGTTGACCAGCACAAGAGATGAGTTCTAAAAAGCTTTCTAGCAACAAATTGTTACCATGACAGGCAGCAGTTAAGACTTTGCTGTGACTACAAGGAAGATAACATGTAAGTAGTCTAGACTATCTGAAAAGAAAACAAGCCCTGAGAGCAATTTTACAGCTCTACTTGTTTACTATTTCCCCTCCTGCATCTTTTATCTATTGTATTAAACAGCCATATCTGCTCAAGCAAAGGAACAATTTTAGAAAAGTTTAACAAGCGTGATATTTCTCAACAAGAGCTCAGCAGTCTGTGAAGCTGACTGCTCTTACCTTCTCTTTCTACCAGTGTGAAGGGTTCACTATCCCAACCATCCTCAAGTGCTGCTGGCTGAACATCCAGGTGACCATATACACACACCGTCTTTTTGGATGGATCTGAGCCAAGTGTCCCCAGAACAATTGGTGGTAGAGGAATCTGTGATCCATCAGGCAGCTAGGAATAGGAGGCAAGACATCTTATGCAAATGTGGAATGTCAGAGTGGCACATAATTAGAAGAATTAATTAGTTGAACATTACAGAGGTTATGAGATTAGGGGCATAGACAGCTAAACAAAATTGAGCTACTTAAACTGATTGCCAGAAGCAGCATGCCAGTGAAGGGATGACAGCACCATGCCAGTAAAGTCCCTTCCTGACAAGTCCCAGTAATAGTCAAAGTGTTCCAAGCCACTCGGAACTAACAATCCTACATCAGATTTTTGCAGAGCAAGCTGTCTGCATGCCAAACTGCCTTATCTAATGCTGACCTAAGCATAAGTGATAAACTCCAATATTGCATTCTGCATTGCTTGTCACTGCACTTTCATCCTGTCCACACTATAGCTCTAGACAGATCTCCTGACACTGATATTGCTGAATATAACACATGCCTACACCCAAATAAGGACAGCATTACAGCCATATTTCTCTATACTACCAGCCTACACTGTTAAACAAAGGGCAGGGTAGCACTGATGAACTTAGTTCAAGATTTGAACTTGGCTTAGTCCTCTGGAATACCCTATAAGCAATTATCACACGCTATTCTCAGTCAGCATCTATTTCCTCTTCACTGAGCTAATGCATACTCCTAGCAGGTCAAGATCAGCTTTTACTTTTTACTTATATGGGCTACAAGCTCCATTTTTTTTCCTCAACAGGTTACATGGTCCTTGGCCAGCTGCAGCTCTAAGTGACTAAAGCATTATATCAAGAACTTACACTTACAGCGATCTGTACAAACTGCTCTGCAGCAGTAAACTAAGTTAGATCAGACAAGTTCACCAGTTGCTTTACATTGTCCTGCACTGATACAGCAGCAATGTGCATAATAGATTGACTAGTTTTGTCTGTACTGAATATAAAACTAAATACTGAAGTTAACTTTAATCCAGTTGCAAGAGTTTTCTAAATAGAAAAGTTACTTGTAATAAACTCTGTAAAAGCAGTCCTTGCCCCCCCCCACCAAGTTACATTGATGAAAGGAACAAGTTTGTCTCTGAATTGATTGAAATACTTTTGATGGGATTCTAGGCTGTAGGTAATAGCAGAGCTAGAATTATCCTACAGATTCACCCTCCAAGAGAGCACATGAAATCAGCTGCTTTCCGGCTGAGACTTGCAGTGCTACAAACAAGTGTATTCCAGCTGCCAAAAGTAAGAACTGTCCAGAGGGTCCCGATACAGATCTCACCCAGCAGTCATTAGTACCAATTATAATGACAATCTTTCTAGAACTAGCAAACACTTCAGTACAACAGGGTTTTGAATACCACTATCCAAATGGTAGTCTAACAATTCTGGTATGGATCTTGTTGTGTGACATGTAGTGACTAGGCACAGCAAAGGAGGGACATATAAAGTGGATGGATCCCTAGGATATTATCATTGTCAACTACATACACTTCTCAGTAGAAGAAATGCACTCCAGACAGCTAAAAATAAGGATAAGACTCATCCTATTAAGGATCCTTCTGTATCTAGTAAGGGAACAATGCAATCTTGTGACATATAATACTTGTGGAATAGCCTAAAAGTCTTTTGAAAGACTAATTGAAAATTCAGTCAGTATCTTCACAGCCTATGAGTCTAAGGTCCAACACCAGCCTGCTGTTAAGAACATCTAACATTTGTTTGCAGGTGCTCTGTTCATGTTCAGTTAGAAAAGTATTTAAAATACACTTAATACACAGTCCAAAATGTCATACAACATGCTTAACTGACCTGGATCCCAAGGTTTACTATAAACAGGGAGCTCAGACTGCGTGGCAGGAAAGACATTATCCCACACTCCAACTGCCTTTCTAGACCACTACCCACAAGACCCTTGTGTGGTGATCCTGACCAGAAGACCATCAAGACATCGAGGAATTAGTGATCCACATAGTTAGCCTGAGTACACTCAAGCCCATGCTGTGTTATGCTGCACACACAGCTTTATCTTCCTGTCTGTATTGTGCTGTGCACATCTTTGGGCTGCAGCATAAACTTAACCAGTTGACCATAGCTTGCAGGCAGTTCTCACTTGATACTGGTGATTACACCACCTGCATGTCCTTGTCTTTATCTAAAAGTGCAGCAAGAAGTTATCATGTGAATATCCCTTCTGTTTGGCAGTGGAATCGAATAGTTTGAATAAATAAAAAGGGAAAACATTTCCATGAATGAGATCTGCACAGCAGACTGCACACTGATTGTATACCCACTAGATGCTGCACAGCTTGGGATTCCCAGCATCTGAAGGGATATAAGATTATCTATGCTATCTTCTTTTATAGTGGCAGCTCTAGTAAAAAGCATTTTAAATTATACTTTGTGGAGTCTTAGTGCCTTTCTTACTGCAGTCATAAGAAGCCAGTACTTCCTAGTGCAAAACACCTTGTTTTCTAAAGAGACATTTTTCTACTAAGTTGAGACGCTCGTGTACCTTTTGTTTCCCAATATCCATAAGTTGGGTCGTGCCTCCCAGTCTCTCAATATCCTTTGCAGCAACCTCCATCATGCGCCTGATTTCAGCCCTCTTCTCCGGCCATGCTGACACACTCTGGATTGCCACCCATTCAGCCAACCGCTACAGAAAGACAGAAAAGCTACAGGTTTTACTACACATGAATTACAGTATTGCAGGCACTATATAAATACAACACCTTGCAATTTAACTAATACTGTTTTAGTCAAGCTTAAACTTGAGTCAAATCAGCTCTGTCCTCTGCTCTAAGGGGTACTCTGTCAATACTACACTTAAAAGCTCTCTCACTTTCCGAAAGCTGCCACCACATGTAGCACAAAGTCTATAGATACATAAGGTAAGCTTAAGAGTATGACAGCTTGCGCATATGGTGCCTTTCTGGTCGTCATTCAGTATCCAGAACCAGCTGATGTCTTTCAGGCTTCTCAGAAAGGCCACCTTAGTCATGTCCCCCACTATGTGAGAACAGAGAAAGCAACTACCAGAAGTCAAGCTGAACACTTCGCATAATTCCTGTCTGGGACTTTACAGTGCTATAACACATTTCTTCACAGATGAAAGGGACTTCAATACAAGGTACAATTAAATAGTAGGTTAAACAGCAAAGTACAGAAGTAACTTCTCCCTCTGTACCCCCACATGAACAGTTTCATGAGAAAGCTTTATTCCAGTATTGTTTATATCTTTCCTCTCCCATCTCAAAAGGGGAAAGATAATATAAACCTAGTTTGGCATTCAGGAACCAGTATCAAGCTTCTTGTACCTCTGCATAAATAACTGCTTGCACTATACAGTAATAGAGCATTTCCCAATAGATCTACCATGGAGATTTAGGTCTTTGCACTGAACTTAAAAGTTATCTGGCTTTACTCAAATCAGTCACACTTGCCTGCTGACCCCTCTCCTCAGTTACCTGGCATTACTCTATGATTGGACCTATCATATAGGTATAACAACAAGCTTGAAGCTGACCATCTAACTTTAAATATCCCATAGCTGTCTGTGCTGCAGGACAATATTCAAAGAAAACTTACCTGAATATAGAGGTCCTGGTGTTCATCAATGTATTTAAAGAGGGTTTCAAGAGCAGACATTTTCTGACCAGAACGGTGTTGCTGAAGATTCTGTGACAGAAAAATAATTTATCCTTCACAGGTTTAAGAAGCAACAGTCAACAATCAGGCAGCCACAGAAGACTTCCACCTTTCAACTGCTAATGCCACACACCAAGCCGTGTGAATATAAGACTTGAGGGTACTCCCTCTCACAAAAATCACAGTGAAATGTCTAAACAGCAGCTTATTTAATATCAATACTGCTGTTTCTGCCTCTCCTCCCAAAATAACTTCGGAAGTTAAACTGAGCAAGCTTGTCTACAGAGATACTTCAATCAAGTCACACACTTCACTTTACTGCAGAATTGCAGGCAAAATGTTACTCAAGTGAAATCTACTCTTTGAAGTTGCATTTCATTACAAGAGTCCAACTAACAGCGTGCCATAGGTTTGAATGTCAGTAGGTAGGTCCAAGAAAGCAACATATTTTGTGATCTACACAGGAGGTTAAAAGCAGGCAGCTTAAGAACTGTGTTTTCTTCAGCTTTAAAGTCCCAACCTGACACTCTGCCTTCCCTAGGAAGGTCAGAGTGAAGCCACAGGAACCAAAATCAGCCCCAGCAGAGGATGAACAAGTGGTCAGTGAGCAGTTTAGGGCTACCACTTCCTCATTTTGTTTTAGTTTGAAATGAAGTTTGTGTAATAAAATCCAAGACCTCTCTCCTCCTCAGTTTTCCTTATCAGTCCAAAGTCCATATTTAAAAGACATATTGTCCACTAAACCAACAAAACAGACAAGATTAAACTTAACTCTCAAGTTAAAAAAAGGTATAGCACCTCCTCTAAGCCAGGAACATAATGAGTTTTACAAACAAGCCTCTGAAATCCAAGTGCCTGTATCATGAGAATAAGTCCCGTGTCTGTGTAAAACACTGAACAAGCACATTCTGCAGCACCAACTGCTGTGATTCAGTGTTTTGTTCAGTCAGTTTTATGCCAGATCCTTGAAGCCTTTCTTCCCCTTCTGTGTGGAAGTCACAAGACAAGTACGAGAGTTGTTAAATCCTGTGACAAAGTCAAATGTTTTGTTGAACAGCTGACTATTCCACATTGCTGAAACTAATGCTTTCAAGCTGCAGGTTGTCCCACACAACATTCTGCAATATAAGCACATCCTACCACCCTAAATCTACAAAAGACTTACAGAACACATTTTCTTTCAAGCAGGACTGTTCTTAGATCACTGATGCCTGACATACAAAAATTCTCACTCACTGGAGAGGGCTTCTATTTAATTTACAGCCTCCATCAAGTTTAAATTTGGATAATGAATTTAAAGTACTAATTAGAACAAGCCCAAACCACCAAACAGTTCAAGCACTATCTTCAGTAGTCATGAATGGCAAAAACCGAACACCTTCAAAAGAATTAGACAGACATAACCAAGTCAAAACACTGCTTCTCACTGAAGGCCAGTTTCCCTAACAAAGCCACCATCCTCACATGCAGTTAGAGCTCAGGCATGATTCATCTGCAACTTTTCAGATAAATCAGCACACAGCCCTGTGCATCTGACCCTCCCCTTCACTCAATCAGTTCCTATAGCAACATCAGGGCTTTCGCTTCACAGCACAGACACAAAATACAATGTATTACACAGAGGGTGATATTCTGTCCAAGGCAAACAAGATCTTAACTACCTAAATCAGGGACTCCTTTAAGGACCATGTTACACAGTTAAATGTTGTTAAAAATTAGAAGGGCATTAAATCACTCAAGTCTCACTGTAGAGTTGCAAAAAAGTCTGCCCCAGAAGACTTCAAACTTGGAAAAGCAAATGCAGCTTATTGCACAGCACAAGACTGAATATTACTTCCCTTCCCCTCTTAAAAATCAGGGCTAGAATGTCCTGCAATACCTCAGACTGGAGAACTGCATCCTTCCAACCTACATGGAATGGGCTCCACAATTCTACTTTTTCAAAGCAGTGTAATAACTTTTCCCTCCTTACCCACAGGCAAGGTGAGTACCCCAGGGAAAAGCATTTCACTAGGTCAGGAGAGGCCTGTAGCCATCACAGAGCACTCACAAGCTACTAAAAGCAGCAGCACACAACTCTACACTCACATTACAGGCCCTGCTCCTTAGGCTGAAGTAAAAACTGGGACTTTATAAGGTTTTGCGGGAAAAAAGGAAATTTCACTGTAGCAGCCAGTCCTGTGACCACAGAGAGGTAAGCCTCAGAGCAGGGGACAGAGACACATCACAGGTCCCCTAAGGAGAGGGGGAGGCTCAAGGAAAGAGACACGCATAGGGAAGGGCACAGGGGAGCAGCGGCAGCCTCCCTCTGAGGAGCAGCCACC